ATCTCGTCCAAACCTCTCAAACGCAGCCTATATTGCCGTTCCTCTCTCTTTGTCGTTCAGGCTTTAGTCGGGAGCCCCGTCCGCGGCGCATGTCTCAAAAGGCTGTCGACCGCTGGTTCCTGGCTGTGACTCTCCTACGCAACCCATCTTTCATCAAGTACTGCCGCCAAGGCCGCCATTTCATGGCATCTGTTGTGACTCTTGGAAGCGTCAACTTTGACGTTCCAGTGTAAAACTTTGAGACTAACTCAGAAGGAAGAACACTTCTTTCTTTATGGTTCACTTTTCCGGAGATCTGCTATAGCTTGGGGTAAAGGTCATCCTCGTTTGTTACCAAAGTATAATATAGTCTGTATCTGGGTGTTGTTGTTGTTGTTGTTTTTTTTGTATTTTAAATTTTTGAGTCAAAATGTTACTTCCCTAATGAAAGCTATTCTAAATTATGGGCTAAACTTTATTGAACACGTAGATTGTGGTAGAGAAGTGAGCAAGGAAGCACAAAAAGTACTTATTGAAAAACAATTTTAAATTGTAGATTTTTATTGCTGGCTTCGGAAATGGGAATTATATTATCCAGCAAACATGGAGAGGCAAATGATAACATTTGCAATTTCAGATGAGTTTTTTGTAAATCTATTTCTCTGTAAACGATAATGAATTCTAAATGTTGATGAATGTTCTTTGGTACATTTGAATTTGATGGTTTTTTTTAAAAGATAATATATCAGGTATTGGAAAGTAATATATACAAAATGAGCAAGCAGTATACGTTAGGCTTAAAGCCAAGTATATAGGAAGGTTGCTTAGGCGTTTTAAGCGGAAGTTTTTTGTTTTTTTGATTTATTTTTAGTTTGTTTGTTTGTTGGGTTTTTTTTTCTCTTTTTTTTGTTGTTGTTTTTTTCCTTTAACTATTATGAAAGTAAGAAAAGTAAAAATTGGCGCACGATACCAAATAACGTTGTGAATTAATGAGGTTCTTGATTAGGGGAAAGACTTGGGAAGGAAGGTGTGGGTTTGGAACTGAGGAGCAAAGAACCAACGGCATGAAAGAAAATACGTAGTTAACGGACAGCTGTGAGCATTAACCACATGAGTGTTTTGTCGAAGGCCGATTTCTCTCACACGTGCGAATATATTCATATACAACTAGCGAACTCCAACATCGTGAAGACCTCTGATCTTTCTCGAAAAGAACTAAGCGGAAGTGGAAAGTGAGGTGGAAGTGAAATATTGGTTGGCGGGACTACTGGCGAAACCAGATTTCATTCAATTTTGTTTGCTCGTTTTTATCCGCGCGGGGATCCCGGTTGAATTCCCGCTGGTTCCCTGGTACAAATCTCCTCACCGGCATCCCGAGAGAGATCCAGACAGGTGTCCCGTGGGAATCTCGGCGGAAACTTGCGAAAATACCGGCGTGCACTCCAGAGGATAATGACATCAAGGAACTCGTCTTCTTTGTTTCATAACTGACCATTTCATTCATTCACAAATTTACGAGGACGGTACAATCGAGAAACCGTTTTTAACCCGTAACTGAGTGTTGTCACTGAGTGTTATCACCGTTTAATACAGGTTAACACTAACACTAACTTATCATTACTTTTTCATGTGAAGCTTATTTTAAAAATCGCTAAAAATGTATCGAATAACATCAACAAAACGATGATGCAGCGTAAAAACAAAACAATTAATTAGAATTCTAACAGCTGGACCTCTTGGTAATTACTAAGGAAATGATTTGCGTAACTTTCTTGGGTAACATTTGTTAGATACAAACAGTCCTAAGAAGAAAGATAATTTGCAATGTGTTGAGGACATTTGAACTCTAAATACTAACACTGCTTTTGGGAGACAAATATGGAATAAAGTTTACTTCAGAGAGAATTCGTCGTTTTATTCGAGTGGTTCCGCCCTAAGTGACCGTACCATACAACCCGAACAGGCCGATGGGACTCAGTCAAGGATGACCACAACCGCTTTATAGAGACCACCGCTGAAAAGCGGTGAAAGTGACCATGCATGAGAGGAAAAATTCGGGAATTTGACAACCGACCGCTTAACACAGGTTCGAGTACTAATTCCGAATTAGCTAATCAGCTCACGCTAAGTACTCTATTCACGCTGTAGGGTGATCAGATGGAGTAGAGTTATGAAGCACGAGGAGAAAATCTAGGAAGACGAAAGAAGCCTAAGTTTAGCAATTACTCAGGGAAATTCTTATCTTTACCTTGTGAAATCGTAGCTCTAAGATTCTTGAGAATCTGTCCTGTAACCACGTAGCCGTTTACACTCCCAGCCCGGAGGGTCAAATGGAACCTCGACCCATCCTTCCCCCCTTCCCATGGCTCCTTTTTGAAAATGATTTTAATACATGCTATCGTCAGTTGAGATGTTCAGCTGAAACATTTACGTTGTCGCAGTTTTTTAGATCTGCGGTGAAGTCAAAATATCAGGGCTTACTGACTTTTCGGAACCGGTACAAGGTACCAACGCGAGAAGGAAATTTATCCCTGCTTGCCTTGATATCGGTGAATATCTCGTAAGATATACATATATATTTTTTTATTTTTTATTTTTTTTTCTGCGTGAGCTTCATTAAGCATCTCAGATTAAACAGAACAGGAATGCGTAGCGACAACACTCTTCCCATGCCCGTCTCTCCCAGGTTGACCCTTACCTCCACGATTTTTCCACGGTTTGTTTTTCCCGGTTTTCCTTACCCCTCATAAACCAGCGCTCTAAATTCGAGTTTCAAATACTAAAAACGTTTTTATTTCACATCTTGCACGTCACCCAGTCGAGGGTCTCCATGGGGTTAACCGTTAGCCGTAAATCGGTCGAAAATCCAGCTATTAGGCGTAAAAATAGACAAATTTGAACCCTTTGTTGTTGAATAAATTAACTTTGAAAATCTTTCCCTCTTACAATGTGTTATTTATTGTTATTCTGGATTAGCTGCAGCGGAAAAATGGCCACAATTTTAACCGTTAGCCGTAAAAAGTTCTTATCGGTCGGCCCTCAGTTTTAAGAAAGTTTCGGTTTTTTTAACAGGCTGTTTTAGTTAAGTTTGCAATCGTGGAAAAAAATATCATAAATATTTTTTACACTCGGGGAACCACACCGACCTAGAGTACCTCCCATGATGAGGACGCTTTCTATAAACAGAATAAAGCACCATCTCCTAAAGTGAAGGGTAGTTTCTTTTTTCTTGCCCCTTCAACGATATATGACTAAAACATCACGACATCATGTCGCTTTACATGCTAAAAAAAAGCGTCGCATGACATCCTAAGGATTTCCAATGAAACTGGCACATATAAAATCTGAAAATATCGAAATTTATATCTCATATAATAACTCTATCCGAGGAAATGGGAAGAGGTTGAGCGAATGAGACACAGGTGCGCTCACTACTCCAAACGAAAAGATGTGACAAAACATCATATCTGTCACATAACGTGCTAAAGAAGTGCGTGACATCCTAAGAGACGGTTGCCAACGATCGATATTAGCAGTTTTAGAGTCAGAAAATATCGAAGTTTATCTCTCGTTCAGTAAACCTGTTCAGAGACGTAGGCAAAAGTTATTAAGCGAATACCGATTCAAACGACAAGAAATGGCTTATGCAGGTTGATGCAGAAATTTTCTTCCCTTTCTTATTGATTTCCTCTTCCATTTTAACAAAATACCAAGCGACTTGTTTCATTGTTTGACATTTAATTGTTAGTTCATTGTATTTAGATAGTAAGTAAACAATCTAATCGGAGAAACTAAATAAAATCATTTGGCTTCAACTTTTTAGCTCGTTCTGAGCTTCCTTCAATGCTTTGTAAGCCATAACTAAAATTATAAAATAAAACTTCTCGTTTTGCCATTGGACGATTAGTTTAAACAATATACTTAAAATGCATCGTTCTGCTTGTAAAAAATAACACAATTTACCGCATTCAAAGTTAAAGGAGAAACCCCCAAAAATTAGCTAATACCAAGACTAAATACTTGCCATTGCGGCCAAAATCTCTCATTTTAAGTCCAGATAAACCAAATTCTGATGGGCAGAAACTAACTTTAAGTACTAGTGACTGAGTATAAATCCTCGAAAAGTTAATCACAATTTCCATCTGACATAGACTAAGATAATCGAGCAATCGGACAACTGAATATTCCCCAATTCCTATGAAAATTCTCTATATACGCACACAGCTGTAGTAGCTTTATATCACTCATGACACTAAACCGATTGAGAAAAAGTCTGTAAAAAACTCTGGAAAACGTTTTCAAGACGTTTCAACTTCGACGTAAACGTTACGCCCAAATCCTCTCTGTAGAAAATACTTAGATTGAAAGTAACTTCTCACATAGCTAGTCATGATAATTTTAAGACATCATATGAAAACAAAAAAAAAACAAACAAACAAACAGTAGTTTGAGAAGGATATCAAAGATTAAGCTCGTAAAAGCAGTTTAGACAAGCAAGAAGGCAACTTTTGAATCAATGGAAATCTGTTCTCTTGTTAAACTTGACTTTTGCCGTCTTTTGGTTCTTCCTGCTTTGAAAAGAAGACTCTTGACAAAGGTTTCATCGGTAGCTTACTGGTTTCTGGTCCAAATATCAGCATTTGTAGGTGTCCGAAAAATCCCTGGGATTCCAATGCTCACTGCCTTAACTGAAAAATAAAAGAATCTAAGTTTAGGGAGGATAGTTGAGTTGCCATGAAATATTTATTAGCACATGAAACGATACATTGCACAACAGAATTGTTTTAAAAGAAATTTGCTATTTTACTCCCATCATGTTTCCAAAAAAGAATGTTATCATCGTAAACGTGTCCACTTGATTGTACTGCATCTCAATTTGCCGGAGCAAAAGATAAATTCGTAACCCAACTGCAAGGAAAATAACACGCAAGTATCACTGCTCACATATGAGCAAAGATTGTGAATTAATGTAACTTTTATTGAATAGAATGTATCAACAGAATTATTACTTGCTGCAGCTTCTAAATCTCCTCGAAATCCAGGTTGACGTCGTCACCAATGAGTACAAATGGTGCCCAGTGCCAAACCTCCTTGAAATTTTCAATTTCTCTCATACACTTCATTGCCTGATTGAGAGCTTCACTGGCCTTCTTGCCTTCAGAAAGTGCATCGTAGAAGAAATTCATGAACTCCAGGGTTCCCTCGTCGCCAATCGCCCACAAGGTTACCACAACAGATCTGGTACCGGCACCCAAAAGTGCACGCGCCATGCCGACCACACCCTCGGCCATGACCTCCCCACGAGCAGTGTAACAGCAGCTAAGTACAACCAGACGTGCTCGCAACCCAGCTTCTATGACATCTTCCATCGTAAGTAGATAATCTCTCTCTTGCGGCTGAGGGTTATTTCTTGTGGTGTTTGGTGCCAGGATAACTTCTCCAGTCTCCATTTTACCGTGCGCTGCTACGTGAACTAACGCCACTGATGATATTCGTTTTAACACTTCATCTTTTGTTGCCATTTCTCCAGTGAGAGGGGAAACATTGAGGATACGTCCGATCATCTCCACTTCTTTCCTTGCTCCTGGAAGTTGCACCAAAAGTTCTCCCTCATAGATGATATGTTTGAAACATGGGTCGCCGACTAGCAATGCACCAGTCTTCGTGTGAAAGTCAGCTGGACAATCATGAATTAGTTGCAAGGTCGTCAGAGAGGGAAGCACACGAATTCTGAAAGAATCACTTAGATATGATGAGTTGGAGTCCTGCAGCGCTGCATAAGGTACAAGGCTAAATGGCCCCTCAGGAACGATTGTGATCTCGTCGTTGCCTTCGATCAGGTCAGCAATAGGAGTAACGATGATGTCATGCAGCTTCTTTAAAGCACTTGATTGGGAGTGCTTCACATTAACTCGGATCGCATCATTGCCCACTTCTGTCAGCGAGTCAAGCGGAGGATTTTCGATTGTAATAGTACCTTTTGCACCGATTTCCTTAAGAGCAGTTTTGTTCAGGTGCTGGATGAAAACTTCCAATTCATCCTCAAACTTATAATTGTTGACATGTACTTGCCTCATCTGGATATTATTTTCACTGAGGCAAACCCAGAAGTAAACGCATGGTCCATTAATGGCTATGAAAACTGTGCTCAATGGAACCCACCTCAGAGAAATGCGGGATGCGCTGGGCGTTAAAGAATCTCCAGGCTGATATTTTGTGACCATGAGATCTCTCAGAGCTTGAGCACGTCCTTTCTCTGTAGCAAGAAGAGCCTTCACAACTTGACCTCGACTGAGATTTATACGCCACAAACCTTTGTATGCTGCTTTGTGCTGATTACGATAACAAATCTTCCACTGATCGTTGAGTTGAAGACTGGCCCTGATATCATCATACAATTCTACACTCGAGTAATAATTGTCAAAGGCTCTCATGAGATTTCCTTGGTACTCAAAACTGCCTCCAAGGGAACAGAGTGAGCACGCCTCTCCAGTCTTTTCTCCCACTTCTTTGGATATTTCTAGGTGACGTTGATAACACTCAATAGCCATTTTCGACTCTCCTTGTCTGAAATGAATCCCGCCAAGAAGGCAATAACTTCGTCCCTCTCCAGCCTTGTCTCCCACTTCTTTAGCAATTTCTAGACTACGTTGATGGTACTCGATTGCTGTTTTGAATTGTCTTAGAATGCAATAAGCAATGCCGAGATGGCCATAACTTGCTCCCTCTCCGGCCTTGTCTCCCACTTCTTTAGCAATTTCTAGATGACGTTGATGGCACTCGATAGCTGTTTTGAACTCTCCTAGACCTCGATAAGCGTTGCCGAGATTGCCATAACTTGCTCCCTCTCCGGCCTTGTCTCCCACTTCTTTGGCAATTTCTAGATGACGTTGATGGTACTTGATGGCTGTTTTGAACTCTCCTAGACCTTGATAAGCGTTGCCGAGATTGCCATAACTTGCTCCCTCTCCGGCCTTGTCTCCCACTTCTTTGGCAATTTCTAGATGACGTTGATGGTACTTGATGGCTGTTTTGAACTCTCCTAGACCTTGATAAGCGTTGCCGAGATTGCCATAACTTGCTCCCTCTCCGGCCTTGTCTCCCACCTCTTTAGCAATTTCTAGATGACGTTGATGGTACTTGATGGCTGTTTTGAACTCTCCTAGACCTCGATAAGCGTTGCCGAGATTGCCATAACTTGCTCCCTCTCCGGCCTTGTCTCCCACTTCTTTAGCAATTTCTAGATGACGTTGATGGTACTTGATGGCTGTTTTGAACTCTCCTAGACCTCGATAAGCGTTGCCGAGACTGCCATAACTTCCTCCCTCTCTGGCCTTGTCTCCCACTTCTTTAGCAATTTCTAAATGACTTTGATGGTACTTGATGGCTGTTTTGAACTCTCCTAGACCTTGATAAGCGTTGCCGAGATTGCCATAACTTGCTCCCTCTCCGGCCTTGTCTCCCACTTCTTTAGCAATTTCTAGATGACGTTGATGGTACTTGATGGCTGTTTTGAACTCTCCTAGACCTCGATAAGCGTTGCCGAGATTGCCATAACTTGCTCCCTCTCCGGCCTTGTCTCCCACTTCTTTAGCAATTTCTAGATGACGTTGATGGTACTTGATGGCTGTTTTGAACTCTCCTAGACCTTGATAAGCGTTGCCGAGATTGCCATAACTTTTTCCCTCTCCGGCCTTGTCTCCCACTTCTTTAGCAATTTCTAGACCACGTTGATGGTACTTGATGGCTGTTTTGAACTCTCCTAGACTGTCATAAGCGTTGCCGAGATTGCCATAACTTGCTCCCTCTCCGGCCTTGTCTCCCACTTCTTTAGCAATTTCTAGACCACGTTGATGGTACTTGATGGCTGTTTTGAACTCTCCTAGACCTTGATAAGCGTTGCCGAGATTGCCATAACTTGCTCCCTCTCCGGCCTTGTTTCCCACTTCTTTAAAAATTTCTAGACCACGTTCATGGTACTTGATGGCTGTTTTGAACTCTCCTAGACCTTGATAAGCGTTGCCGAGATTGCAATAACCTCTTCCCTCTCCGGCCTTGTCTCCCACTTCTTTAGCAATTTCTAGACCACGTTGATGGTACTTGATGGCTGTTTTGAACTCTCCTAGACTGTCATAAGTGATGCCGAGATTGCCATAACTTGCTCCCTCTCCGGCCTTGTCTCCCACTTCTTTAACAATTTCTAGACCACGTTGATGGTACTTGATGGCTGTTTTGAACTCTCCTAGACCTTGATAAGCGTTGCCGAGATTGCAATAACCTCTTCCCTCTCCGGCCTTGTCTCCCACTTCTTTAGCAATTTCTAGACGACGTTGATGGTACTTGATGGCTGTTTTGAACTCTCCTAGACCTCGATAAGCGTTGCCGAGATTGCCATAACTTGCTCCCTCTCCGGCCTTGTCTCCCACTTCTTTAGCAATTTCTAGACCACGTTGATGGTACTTGATGGCTGTTTTGAACTCTCCTAGACCTCGATAAGCGTTGCCGAGATTGCCATAACTTGCTCCCTCTCTTGCCTTGTCTCCCACTTCTTTAGCAATTTCTAGACCACGTTGATGGTACTTGATGGCTGTTTTGAACTCTCCTAGACCTTGATAAGCGTTGCCGAGATTGCAATAACCTCTTCCCTCTCCGGCCTTGTCTCCCAGTTCTTTGGCAATTTCTAGACATTGTTGAAGGTACACGATTGCTGTGTTGAACTGCCCAACTTTATAGTAAGTACATGCGAGACTGGCATAAGTGTTTGCTTTGACTTTTAGTTCAGCATTCGATTTCCTTATTAATTGAAGAAGACGTTCGTTATTGTTTTCAATCTTAAAACGTGTCAAGGGTTGCTAAATCATGAGCGGATTTGCGAAAATGCAATGGAAATGTATGTTTTAAAAATAATGAGATTATTGGATAAAACCTTCAAATTGGAATGATAATTCGAGCCTGGGTTTCTTGAAGAGATTTGATTTCAAGTTACTCGAGAGTGTTGACTAGCTCTGAAGTGCATTTATTAGTTTAGGTTCGGTCGTCATGGTGATTCGTCTCAAGAGAAATATGAGGGGCATTCGGCAGAAACTCTGGGAATTAGTTAATATGGTCTCTTCTTTTAAGTGAAGTTTCATGGAATAATCGAGAGAACTCCTTAATAATATTTTAGCTTCTTTAAACTGCTAAGTGCAGTATAAGAGAACATCGCTTGCACTATGTGTAGAAGAATCTGCCTGGAACGTATTGATTATTCTTGAAACATTAGTCGCATTGCATCTCGTATCACGTTTGAAACATTCGTCAAAGGATACGGTCAATCCCATATGCAACCAGCTCCTTGCTTCTTTATACCAGCAAAGTTCGACACAAGCTCTTGCTCCTAAAAAGGAGAGAATGATTGGTGAGGCGAGGTAATTTATCACTGTTAAGGTATAAAAGCATTGATAAAATGGACTTAATTTGTCATTTGACTGGGAACAAAAACTGCGATAATAAAGGAAATCTGAACTTGTAGAAGGATTGAAAATGAACAATAAGGAGCTAATGCAAAGCGGCTACCAATTAAGGTTCAACCGATGATGATAATGACGAATTTATCTCGCGCATTCTTTATTTTAATGTGCTCTTATGCGCTCTTTAGCACTTTTCGGGGAAGTTTTCGGGCAGACTGCATGCCGGGTTTTTAAACGTCCCCTGCTAAGGGTCACAGAGAAGATGCAAGAAACGGGGCTTTCGGTCTTCCTTTCATATCCGGGACAATAATATCAGACCATTTGCAGATGTCATAGCTTGGGTGACAGCACATTCTCCTCAGATATTTTACGACTCTGAGTGTTGGTCTGGTCTAGGGCTTGAACCCTCGACCTCCGGCGCTCTACAACGTGAACTAACCAGGCAGCGGTATTTGAGAACTTACTGACATTTTCTTCTGCTTTTTACCCACATAACAGACATTGACACACCAGATACAATTGACACTTGGGGTGCAGTCACCTGCCACAGACCACAAAATCCTCTTTTGACAAAATCAGAGAATAGAATGTTGAAAGCTTATGTCTGAAACACCCACCTTTCTTAATAGCTTTGATTAAAGTGGGTTCCAATTGAACAGCAACTGTTGCATCATCGAGACATTCCACGTAGTTTTCTATGAGATTCAGGAAATAAGATTTAAAAAAGTGGTAATCATATGGAATTGCAACAAAGAAGCCTTAAAAATTACAATTGCTTAAAATGTAATGAGGATCATTTCTTTGCTTCATTTTCATCCGCTACAGGGCGATTTATGTTTTTATGCTACTTTTCTGCAGTTGCTCAATTCTTTTCTTCTCTTGATGCAGATTGTGTATTCCGTTATCTTGTAACGCTGCATGAGAGATTTATATATTTAGATATGAAATTGTTACCCAAACGGAAATGAGCTGTTGCCCTGTTGCTGTAAAGCTTGGCGTTGAGTCGTTCATCCTTGCAGTTCACTTTAAGTCCTTCTGTGTAAGAGTTTATCGCCTTATTAGCTTCTCCTTGTCTGTATTCTTTGTTACCTTTCTCCAGACATACCTTCGCTATTTCTGAAAACACAACGTTTTAGTGTTAATGATTTAGTAATGAGTGAAACGACCCTTGACGGATGATGATATATCCAAACGAACTTTTAGGTTAAAGGAGCTTAAAGCAATGAAAAAAAAGTCAGAAAAGTTTAATACCTGTACAGTTTGTTTAAGTAAAATGTATAAGCTGTTGGGAGTCTGGGCTGTAGCTTGGCTATTACTAGATCAAGTCTGTTCGGTTTAGATTTAGGTCGAGAGGCTTTCACAAACCCCTTTTACACCTGGCTTACGTTTTCCAAAATATCACAAGTTTTACCAGGAGATCCTATTTCAACTCAATTTCCTTTACAATCGCCCTTCAGGAGAGTTTATCTGTGCATTTTGTTCGCTTTAAAATATGTAAGCTATTTGGAGTTTTAGCTGTAGCTTGGTTATAACCAGATCAAGTCTGTTCGGTTTACATTTACGTCGAGAGACTTTCCAAAAACCCTTTTACACCTGCGTTACGCTTTCCAAAATATCAAGTTAGAATATAAAATCCCATGAGTTACTGAGAAAAAAATGCATAAAGCAGAGCAAAGCCAGGACCGAAAAGGTTAAAACTTTTTAATGTTCTGATAACAAAAAAAACATCGTGCTGAGAGTGACAAGAGTTCATGGTTTGCCCATCCTTCAGAAAAGAGCGCCGGAAAACATGTTTTCTGTTTTTTTTTCTTTATTAGTAATTGGTTTTTCCCATACATTTATTGTCTATTGAGAACATACTCGTATAGGCTAATTGGAAAAAATTTGATTGGGAAAGTACCACTTTCCCACGAAGTGCCATTTTGCCTGTTATAAAAGTCAGGGGTTCTAAATTTTGTTGACTAGTGGTTTACAGCGTGGGCCTGGTGTTGACATAACTGCCTTAAGAGGCGTGAAACATTTAGAGGACCAAAACAGGCGATACGGCCGGGACAAAACGTCTCCTCTTCTCTATACAATTCTCAAATTGCGTAAAAATTTCTGCCAAACATGTATTGAACAGTAAAGGACAAGAAAGTGTTAGCGTAAATACTTTCCTTTTGGCGGCCTCGAAAAGTTACCCGTTTACAAATTTTTCAAAACTCGACTTTGACGGGTCTACGGGTACTAACAGCTCTCTCTCGCCGAAAATGACTTTCATGCTAAAAGTGACCAAATTTAGAACACTTTCAAGTGCAAAAAGGATAATACCTTTTCAGCGCAAATATCGTTCATTTTAGGTGTAAATTTTAGATACATCGTTAATCTCCAAAACAATATGAGTTGATTTACAAGTTAGCACTTCTAAAACTCAGAATACTGATTTTTACATAGCCTAATGGGCAAATTTTGGCCGATTCTTCTTTAACTTAGGGCTCTTCAAAGCGAAGTCGCCTTAAAATCTGTCGCTTTATTGCTTATGAATAATTAATAATGTCTATGCATTTTACCTGATCGGATCCAGCAATAAATTGTTTTTTCCTTTGGTTTTTCATTTTACTGGTAACAGAGTTTGGATTTGAAGAAACAATCTTTTTGCTGTTTCAAAAACTTTTTTACAGAACATACGCAAATTTTGATGTAAATGTGACAAAAACTTCACTGGGGCGTCTTTCAAAAAATCTTGTTTCACCCGGTGTTCTTACCTCTTAAAGGGTCATTGTATACATCCAGTTCAGCGTCACTTGACGTAACTTGACTTTCCTCTGTTGCTGAAATTACCGAGAAGATATTTCAACTTTGTTAGCCTGAGTGATCACAACTATGTTCACCTACAGTTAGTGTTCGCGTTTGGTGAATTCTAAAAACCTTCAAGTCGAAATGATCCAAAAAATTGTGCACCAGAATTAAGATATACTTAATTAATAAACAGTACAAATCACCATAAATAAGTCTTTCCTGTCGCTTTTTCCCACCTGTGGCTGGAAACTCATTTTTCTCCTCCAGTTCTCCTTCAGTTGTTGGGAGGTTACCTTCTGCCATAGCTAGAAATCAAATCAAATCGGTTGTACTGCGCTATTTTGTTAAATATGAGCAGAAGAGACTCAGATGAAAGTAATCTAAAGGAAACGTTGTATACTTTATCATAGAGGAAGAATGAGAATCTCAAAGTTTTCTCCGCCACGCTATTATGGTTGCGCGACAGCTCCAGTCAAGTTCCGCGTGTTGTGTCATGTTTGTGTTTTCAATTGTTTGTTTGTTTTCTTAGTCTCATCTGTTGAAACGTCGTTCAAGGCTGTCCCTTATCAAAATGCGTGAGTTGCAATACACAACCTAGTTGTACCCGGTAGACATGGATAAGCATGGATCCAAAATGATGCAATAAAGACTCTTTCCCTAATTCCTTCATTTTATCGCGTGTGGGGCTGGGAGAATTCGCGAAACTTCCTCGAAACAAAAACACCTTCGAGGGCTTGCGTTACAGTCACGAATTCTACCAGCACCCGGCGAGCCTATTGCGTAAAGAAACACGTTTATCGGCCCTGTTCTTCTACAAAGTGCATGTGTAAAATGTCCCTCAAAACTATCGAAAAATTGCTGAACAAAGTCTTTTTTTTTATGAACAGAATTAGAATAATTGGAAGAGCTGGTCCCTCTCCAAATTATGTTGGGGAAGGATCCGATTTTTTCATTTCGAATTCAAAAAAGGCGCTAAATACGAGGTTATTTTCGGGGACTGGAGAAGATGGCATTGGGAAGTGTCCTATTCATCAAAACTCTTGTTATCAAGAAACTTCATCTACAACAAATTGAAAGCCATGCGCAAAACACAGACTCCTGCATAGCTTAATCTTGTAGGCCATCAAATGAATTCACTGCCAGGCCATGAGCATTTGGCGGAGGAAGTAGACTGAAAGCGAAATGAAACTGAAAAATTATTTGTGAACGAATTGCTGATCAAAAAAGAATCTTTTGCAATATTATAGTGAATGGGAAATTTAGGACTGAAGCTGCTGAGGTGGTCTTGCACTACAGAACAGGATTTTGCTCCAATATCAGTATTTACTGAGCCCACAGTTTTATCTTCCAGCACACGATGTAAACACTCAAACATTGTACCCATTTAGTCAGTCATCGCGCGAAAAGGTGTATCTACTAAAACCAAACTCTGACAGATAACCAGTAAGAAATGATACTACTAACCACCTCGTAGATACGTAGTTTGAACATTTGAAGACAAAAATTTATTCACCGTCGACGATTACCGTGTCAAGTTTCGCGAGGAGTTGGATTGATGTTCCAAAGCATTTAAAAAAAACAGAATAATGAATCGTGTCGTTAACGAGGTTTCGTTTTCATACGTAATCAAGAAATCGTAGTCATCGTGATTCTGGTGTTGAAAATTTCACTTTTGTTGACACGTTTTCCCAATTTCTCTACTATTTATATGTTTAGGTGGCACCCGTGAGCGAACAGGAAACCTGTGCTCCGATCGGCTACCCAAGAGTGCAAAATGTGTTTTCTTTCGATTCCTACTCCAAAGGGATAATTCAATTGAAGCAGATAAATTCGTATCCACAAGCGGACATGTATCATCCTTTTTATTCAAGAGTATTGATTGTAAATTTGAATGAAATACAATTTTTAAATAGGAGCATCGAAAACAGAGATTCACTGCACCGAAACTCAGCTCGCCGGAAAACAATTCAATTTCGGACATTGTAATACAACAATTTCTCATTACAAGAACTATTTCCTTAAAAAATAATTGAATTCAGCTTCAGTTAAAAATTTTAAAATATTTTTAAAAGAGCTTCCATGGAAAGTAAAACTGTCATGTTGATAAATCCGGCTGTAATGACGACATTGATACCTTTGTATGTGAAGATATAAATGGCACATTTACAGCGTGCGGTGGAGATGTCACTTTTTGAAAACTGAAAAAATTCCAGTGTTTCACCAACAACCATATTACCGTTATTATTACCATATATCACGAATGTTATGATATCAAAAGTAACCTACGGATTGTGTATTTTTTATTCAACCTCGATCTTTGTTTCAAACTTCGTTTGTTTTCGAGAGATTATAGCTGGTTTTGATATTGACGAGAGCTATAATTATATACAGCACGTTATCTAGCTTTGTCACATGCTCATCACGCGCTTCTGTCGCATAATCATCACGCACAGTTAAACATTTAACTCCCGTGATCTAATTGTTAATTCTCCCCTCTAGCTGCTCCATGTTTTCTTTCAAAGTAAATTTGGTATTAACCAAAAATAACCAATTCTGCCAGATAAAACTTTGAGTATTCTCATTGCCTATTTGCTGGATAATGTATTGATATTACAGGGATAAGTTACAAGTTATATCACTTCGAGGAGTTTAAGGGTTTAAGAAATTGCATCGCGTGCAGACTGTTTAACCACGAGGCAAAGGAGAGAAACCAATGAAATTTATAAGTGTATGTAAGTGAAATATTTTCACGTCTGACAACAATAACCCGAGAAAATTCGACTGAAATTAAATTTAACTGTTGTCAGCTGCACGAAAATTAAGATTACGACCTTTATTTATAAATAAAATGAGCTCTAAACAGCTCTAATCAGTTGCAGAATGAAGATTGATTTGTACCTGTTAAACTGTCATCTTCTGAATCCCTCTAATCTCCAAATGATATCATTTGTTAATTCTACATGCCTGAAAATATCAAAAATAATATTTTGCTTTACAACAATTTCGATGAAAAAATGAAGGTAACATACGCACGAGTTTTAAAGATTTAACCTCCTCTAATGTCCAGTTCCGTGATCAAAATTGCTGTTCTTCTTTAAGAAAATTATTGTGCTTGTTTTTTGTTTTTTCCATTCTTTTTATGATTATTACTTGTTATAATCAAGCGAAATAACCGGAGGGAGATACAAAGCTAAAGGAATCAAATCAATAATATGTATTCTTTATGTATAATTTTTTTCCAATTTTCTCGTCTTTCGATTATAATATGTTACATATTTCTTCATTAGCTTTCCTCACCTCAAGAATACTCGCAATAAATTTAACTCCAATCAAGTTCTTTTCCAAGAAAAATACTTGACTTCTCGTTGTATCTAGAGAAAAGCATATTTAAATCGTTTCGCGTTTTGGAAAGAATTAAAGCGGTACCATATGTACTGTTCTTAAAGAAATATCCGAGGAAGATATTCAAAATTTGTTAAATCTATGTACTCCATGCATCTTTGTGTACAGAAACCCTCAGTGTATCTTACAGGAATTTTATGAATAAATTGTTACTGAACCAGTTGTCTTTAAGTTGGAAGAGAAATCTGAGGCCCTGTCTTTTTGAGTTCCAGAATTGTCTCCTGAGTTTGGATGCAGTAAGCTAAACCATAAATAATTGTACAACAGTTCGTACAGACAAGTGACGCACTTGATGCTGGAATCAGAAATGCTGCAGCTTTGTAAATCCCTCATGGGAAGATAATAAGCTACCTCAAGGTCTGGTATGTTTATCTACAAGTCAGCATTGATAATTAATCTGTCGTTTAACCTGATCTGACGGATAGGGGTATTTTTTGGGTCATCGATTAAAAATGATTTTTTCCTTTGTCACGAAAGAGCCTAAAATTTCCTTTCTATCATTATCATCATCATCATCTTTTATTTCCCTTATTAACACAATAGAAAAAAATTGTTTACAGCGGTTATAGCTAGAAGGCGAGGAGACCCAGGAAGCCAGCAGGCTTATGGGAGAGCCACCTCACTCACATTAACAAATAAAGTAAATAAAAAGTGCTGCGAATGTGCGGCTAGGCCAATTCAGTGATTATTTAAGTGAAAACTCTTGCATTTTCGTCTTAAAAATAAGAAGGTTTGATGAACGAGTGACTGAAACAGGAAGAGAGTTCCAAATTTTAGGACCTTGGTAGAGAATTGTAAATTGCTTGAGATTTGTACGGCATTTGTACGGTTTGCGATAATTACTGGCTGTTCTGGTATCATAGTTGTGAATTTGGCTACTCGTTATGAAAAGATTGTGAAGCAATGGAGGCAATAAGTTATTTCTATAATAAAACATGATTTGGCGATTTCAAACGTATTGACTTGGAAAATATCTAAAATTACTAGTTTGGAGAATAAAGGTGCGGAATGGGCTCGATAGTCTGAGTTGGTGATAGCCCGCACAGCTCGCTTTTGCAAGTAATAAATTCTATTTAAGTTAGATACGTATAAGGAAGACCAGGCGCAGTTACAATAGACGATATAAGGATAAATTAAGGTGTAGTACAAAGTGAGTTTGGTTGTAGAGGATAGGAAAAAGCGAGACCTGAATATAATACCCATTGATTTAGCGATTTGTTTACATACATAGGTGATATGGTGTTTCCAGGTGAGATGATAATCAATATAGACCCCAAGGAATTCAGTTATGTTAGATTGTTGAAGGGGTTTACCTC